CCCCCCTACACGTCCCCCGGAGCGGGTCAGCCTGTGCAGGCAGGGCAAGGCCCAAACCTCCCTCCTCCCCACACCCAGGCCTCTGAGAGCACGGGGCATTGGGTTGGGGGTCACCCCAAGACTGAATCACTGATCCAGCTCGGTGCGTTCCATATATGCAGACTGAAAATCATCAAACCCCCTGGAACAGGCAGAGCTGCTTCCGGGGGCAGAAAGGAAGGCTCTGGCTCTACTTTGAATGTGGAAGTGGCTCGGTCCTCCCACGGAAGGTCCCGGAAGCCTGAGTGGGGGGGATGCGGATGGCCGGGGAGGCCGCACCGGTGTAGGTCTGCGGGGGGAGCAGGACCCCCGAGGGTAGCTGAGGTCAGGGGTTAGTGCCATGGGGTGGGCAGGGGCTCTGTTGCCGAGCCCCAGTGTGACCCTCTGAGCAGATGGCACGTTGCTGCCGTGCGCCCCCGCTCACACCCAGCTCTCCTGTCACCTCACGGGAAGAGCCAGCTCGAGTAGCCCCCGTGTGCAGAATTCTCTCTTGCTCCAGTGTGGGTAGAAACCACATGCACACGCATGACACACATAAGCGGTGTGTGTGTGAGAGAGAGAGAGAGCACACGTTCCTGAGCGCCGTCCCGGCCACTCAGCCCCTTCTGACCCCTGCCGAGTGGCTGGCTGTGTGGCCGAGGGCCCATTGCCTGGCCTCTCTGGGCAGTCCCTGCAGGCGCTGCCACTCTTCTGCCTGAGTGTCTGTGCTCTGTCCTGGGTTGCCTGGAAGGCCGCTCGCCTGCGATGTCCGTGTCTGGGTGGGGGCACTCAGTGGTGACTCTGTGCCCCCAGAACAATGTGCTGACCGCCGTCCTGCTGCTCCTGAGGGAGCTGGACACCGAGGGGCTGGAGACCGTGCACCAGACCGTGGCCAGCCGGCTCCAGGCCCTGCGCAAGCAGGACCTGCAGGAGGACGTGGAGTGACCGTCAGTCGGAAACCCGAGCTGCCACGCCTTCCTCCCGCGACCCCGTGCCCAAGCACCTGGGAGACGTGGGGTCCCTTCCACGGCCACGGCCTCTACTGGACCCCGGCTGAGTCCCAGCACGTGGGCTGTGTCCCAGGAAGTTCAGGCCTGCCTGGGGAAGCCAAGCCCTCGGTGTGGATGGCGCCCCAGCGAGAGCAGGAAGGGCGTCGGGCACTTGCCAGGTGCCCTCCTGCCCGGGGCCCAGGTGGACGCCAGCCTGTGTGGGGGGCCCACCTGGACTTGGCTCTTCCTGAGGCGGGCATGGCTGCCACTGTCCCTAATAAATATCTTACCAAAGTCTGATCTGGAAGCAGGCGTTTCCTAGGGGACAGACATGACCTTGACATTGTTTTGAAGGTGAGGGCCGTCGCTCATGCGCGTTTCTCCTATCGGTTCTCTGCCCCAGTTGTGGAATAGGCTCTGTCCACCATGGCCAGCTTCCAGAATGGTGCGGTCCTTAGAGTGACTTGGCATCAGCAGACCCACAGCAATGCTGCTGGCCGCCACCGGGACATGTCGTGCAGCTGTTAGGGTGGGGGCAGGACTGGAGAACACACCTTCCTTTTTTCTCTGCCTTTTTGAGAGCCCGCAGGGCCAGGGGTTTGTGCGGATGGGTGGGAGAGGCCCGGGGTGGGCAGGATGCAGGTGCAGCCGTGGGAGAGGCAGTGGCTGGGGGAGGACACCTCAGGGAGAGCCACGGGCCTTGCTCTGATGGTAGTGCTGCAGGCCGAGGGGCCTTCCTAGTGCCCCCCTGCAGCTGAGGATGCCTCCCTGGGCTGGGGAGCGGCGTGGCCTCTGAGCCGGTAGCCGGTCTTACTGCGGCCGGGACAGGAGCAGGGTTGCCTTCACCCCCGCTCCGGTTGATGGGGACCCAGATCTGTGTAATGTGTCCATCACCGTGCTAGCAGAGGGGTGACTTGTGCGCCGTGTGCAAGGATCCAGGTGGGGTGGCCATGCCCAGGAGACGGTGCTGCCCTTAAAGAGAGGCTGCACTCAGGCCAGCGAGTTTCAAACGGCCCGGGGCCCAGGAGGGCTGCTGGGCGCTGGGTGCTGGGCCCCCGGCGGGTGGTTGCTCTCTGGGGCATCTGTGGTTCTCCAGGAACTGAGTGGCAGAAGCGAGGCGTCGCCATGTGGGGGCGTCTGTGAGGGGTGGCCACCCGGCCGTGTGTGCACTTTCCGCTGTATGTGGGGACAGGCTGACTCTCAATAAAGCGTCTGAGAGCAAGCTGGGGGTGCTTGTGTTAAATTGAGAACACTCTCCCTTCCCCACCCACCTGGCGGGGCTCACACCAACTTCCCGCCTGCGCCATCACCTGGTGCACCCCAGTTAGGGACCTTGGATTGGCCACCAGGCTGGCTGGGCCCTGAGCACCCCACGGCTCTGCTCCCACTTAGCGGCCGGAGAGCTCTGAGCTCAGGGGGAGATGCGCTTTGAGAAGAGACCAGGGCTCTTTGCTGCCGGCATTCTCCACGAACAGACACACGGGCTCCAGGGCTGCCCTGGGGAGCCCGGGGTTTTGGGGGGCCCCGCCAGGGTCTGGGGGCAGCCCGGGCTGGCCTGGTGTGCTGCCAGCACGCATCTGGGGAGTTCTGTGCAGCTGAGGGAGCGCTGGCCCAGCCGGGAGTGGACGCCCACAGTGGCCTCGCCGAGTGCAAGCGGCGCTGGGCATCCACATCCCGCGAGGGGACTTGTTTGCTGGCCTGCGCCACCTGCACCCCTGCATTTCTAGCATGTGCTCGGCCAGGCCGTGACCAGCGTGGGCACACGGGACCCCACACTTGCAGGGTGCTCTGCCCCCACATCACGTAGCCGGGTCTTAGCCGCTCCCTGGGAAGTCGGCCGTTCAGGTCCTGCAGGGCTGTCCAGTTTCGTGTGAGGAAGAAATACTGCTTGTGCGTGAAGGGCTGAGCTGCCCATCACGGCGGCACACTTGGGAGGCTGGTGGCCATGGTTCTCACCCGGGGAGCCCCACCTGCGCCCTCCCCTCCCCAGGGGCTGGTGGGGAGCAGGGGTGGGCAGGGGTGGGGGAAACCTGTGAATGCTAGCCCGGCTGATGATGTAGCGTCCACATCACCCCCTTCCAGATGTCCCCAAGTAGGAAAACCGGACAGCTTCACTACACCTGCCCACGCGCCCGACAGCTGGGGTCCCCGTGGTGAGTGTCCTTACTGGGCCGGCCGACCGAGCTCACCAGGGGGGCCTTGGCGGTCTGGGACGGCGCCCCGATGCCTGCTACTGCCCACCCCCTCCCCGCGTGCAGGCCCTCTGGAGACGTTCTGAAGTCCTGCCGTGAGCACACCTGTGTGTGGGCGATTTCCCAGAAATGCTCTCCAGTGCTCCCCAGAGCCCTGTCGGCAGCAGAATTGTCGAAAAATGTTCAATCTGCCAGACACTGAGGACTCCTGCTTCAGCGGATGCTTCTCAGAATCCTGGTATCCCGGTAAGATTTACTCATGGGCTTCGTTGCCCGGAAAGTTCGCAGAAGTACCTGTATTTTTCAGGGCTGAGATAGTCTGCGCATAGCAGCCTGGGGTGCAGGAATGATGGGACGGAGGATGCATTTGTGGCCACCTGCATCCCAGAGCCTTCGGCAGCCAGCAGGCCCCGGGGGGGCAGGGGGGCCGGCTTGCCCCGTGGGCTGCACCCTCCTCCAACAAGGGACGGTGGCTTCGGGGAGCCGCCCTCCAGGGCCGCCCTGTGCCTTGGGGACAGCCGTCCGGGTGGAAAGCTGGCTCTGGGTTCAGCTGCTCCCCCTGCTTCCCAGCAGGCCAGCCTCGGCCCAGGGGTGCTGAATAGGGGCTGGGGAGCCGTGGGGACGGGGCTGCTTCACAAGGCAGATGGGATTACTGCTCTGCTTTCTGGACCATGTAGACACCTGCCCAGCGCCCCACTCTGCAGCAGACCCCACTGGCCGCTCCCAGGACCCTGCCCCAGCCACAGGCAGCCAGAGAGCAATGCTTGCTCCCTAGTTCACCATCTTCCTGGGGCCTCCAGCACCCCTTTCTCCAGCCACGCTCTCGAGGCCCCTCACACCCCTACCCTGTACTGAGAACCATCTCGGCACACGCTTTCCTGCAGGTAAGGCTGGGACTTGCTGTCTGTGGGATTCTCAGGTGGCCCCAAGGTCCCAGACCCCTGCTGTGTATACCCATATGACCCCCCACCCCCAAGTAGGGGGGTCTGTGACTATGATGGATACCCTGCATATATGGCCAAGGTGAAGGAGCTTCAGAGATGTACTAGAGGTCCCTAACCAGCTGCCTGAGTTAATCAGAAGGGAGATTGGCCTGGGTGGGCCGGGCCTAATCAGGGAGCCCCTGCGGCGCTCCTTTATAGGTGCCAACCGATTAGGGCTGAAGAGGGTGTGGGCCTTCTGTCCCTGAGCTCAGAGACTGGAAGCAGCAGACGTCCACTGCCGCCCCCGGAATTCGGCCACAGGCAGCTCAGAAGAGCCTGAGGTCCAGGAACAGCCCTCAGTCACGGCTGTTCGTGAGCCAAGGACCCAGCTCAGCTGCGCCCACACTCCTGAGCTACTGTGAGGTCACAAATGGGGGTGTTTGAACCCAGTATGTTTGTGGTGGTTCTCAGGAAACCAGCATGGTCTCCCTGCGGGGAGCCGAGTCCTGCAGGAGCTCCAGCCCACAGCGGAGCCCCTGCCTGCTCCCCCCCCCCACCCCCGCCAGCAGGCCCCTGCGGGCATGGCCTGCCGCCTGCCTGCCCTGCCCGCCCCCCTCTCCGCGCAGCAGGGACCCACCGTGGGCTCTCTCCCATCCACGTTGTGCGTGTCCGGGTTCACAGGCAGACTCGGCGAGGCCTTGGCTGTGTGCTCTTGGGCCGGTGGCTCCCGAGCGGACTCCACACAGCATCTGTACCATGGGACACAGAAGTCTCCGGCATTTGTCCACAGCCTCCCTGGGTCATGATCAGAGGCCCACGCACACACGCTGGGAACGCAGAAGCCACTTCCAGGGGTCTCGCGCCCGCCAGAGCAGCCCTGCTCTGGGCTGGGGCCTCCCACGGTGGCGAGCCCCTGACCCTCAGGTGCGGTGCAGAGGGCACACTTGTCAGTGCCCTGCGGCCAGGCTACTGGTGCCACCCCCATCCTGCTGGACACCCACACGCTGTGTCCTCGAGGATGAGCTGGAGGGCAGAGCCCACTGGGCCTGGGGTTCAGGGCCTGCTCCCCAGCCTGGGATGGCCCTAGGACAGCCAGGCCTTGGGGGCTTCCTCCAGGACAGGGAGCCCCCCTTTGCTTGAGGAGCCAGGGCCTGGCTGCAAGGAGGGGGTGTTGGGACACCAGGGGCCGGGCCTGGACGCCTCGGCCTTCTGCCGCAGGCCACGGCCGGTGCGTGCCCCGCCTCTCAGGCTGTGGCATGGTGGCCGTGGCAGGCGGGGGAGGCTGTGCCCCAGGAGGCAGAGGCCAGCGTGAGGCCAGCCTGAGGCCGGGCCCTGTGGCTGCGGAAGCGTTTGGCTGAGCGCCATTTGCTAGCATCTCCAGACGCCGCACGTTCAGGCAAAACCAGTAAGAACGTCCCGCAGTTAGGCTCCCGAGGCTCCCCAGCTCCCTTCCCCAGGCCAGGCCCTGGGTGCCCTGGGAGGCCTGACTGGCACCGGGGGGGGGGGCAGGGGGCTGGCAAGGGAGGGGTCAGCATGGAGCAGGGCCTGGGCCAGCTTGGCGTCTGGGCTGAGTGCGGCTGTGTGCTTGACAGATGGACACGTGGCTGTACACTGGAGGGTGTTTCCGCTACAGCCAGGGTCCTCCCAGGGAGTCCCCACCTCTGAGCCCACAGCCTCCCCACTCACATGCGTAAGCACACACACGTGTACTCACCTGTACGGACACACGTGCACACATACACTCAAACACATTTACACTCACACGTGTACACGTATGCACTCACATGCACACTCAGGTTTCTGGGACCCAGGAACTGGTCCCTGGTCTCTCAAGGTTCAGACACTTGGGACCCTCTCCTTGGGGAACTGCCCCCTCCTCGGCCTGCCCCAGGAGCACCCACACTCGTGGCAGGCAGAGTAGACCAGAGGGGGCCCAGCTCCAGAAAGCCCTCAGGCTCGGAGCCCCTACAGTGAGGAGGGCGGGGTCCCCTGGCCTGGCCCCCACCATGCCAGCTGCTTCCTTGGAGTGACCAAGGCACCCTGCCAAGGTCTTGGGGACGTGAAGGCAGCTAGAGGGGCAGAGGGCCCCAGCCTGGTCCCTAGGCCCAACCAGGAGATGCCCTGCCCAGAGCCCCTGATGTGGCCTGTGAGCCCCCAAGGCCAGGGGCTCCCCACAAAACCTTATGGGCCCCAGACCCTCCCCCTGAGCCTCTGCAGGTGCCAAGGGCAGGAGTGCAGGCCAGGAGCAGCCCTGGACTGAGTGCCCAGGTAACCGCGGTGGGAACAGAAGTGGATCGTGCAGCAAGCTCAGGAGGAACAGAGGTCCCCGAGAGTACAGATGGTGTTAAGGTTCAGCCCGTCCTTCTGGGGACCCTGGTGCTGGCACCACACTGCAGAGCAAGGCTCCATGCCGCCCCCAGAGCTCGTGGTGCATTGGCCCTCGGCTCCCAGTGGTGACGGCGTTTCTGACAGCCTCCCGCAGTCGCCCACCCCCCACCAGGGTCTCCCTGCGGTGCTTGCTCACATCAGCCACTTGCCCCAGGATCTTTGGCTGTTTCTGAGACCCCAGTCCAGGCAGGGAATGTTCCAGGTCAGAGCCAGGGCCTGGAACCAGGCTCAGAAGCCCTCCCAAGACGGGGGATGGGCAGGCCCGTATGCAAGCCAGGGGCTCCCACCCAGCCGCCCACCCTCCTGGGAGGTTTCCCAGGGCCTGCTGTCCAGAGACTGGCCACACTCCACAGTCAGGGTGATTTTATTTCTAGAAAAGGTGGCAAGCTCCATGCTGCATGGTGGCCAGTGTGCACAGAAGCGGGCGTGGCGAGGCCCACAGGGAATGGCGTCCCCGCACAGGTGCCCCCACAGTCCCCGGATCAGAAGGTGGGTGTCCAGGGGGCTCCATGTTGTAGGAGAGCCCAGCGGGCAGCGCGGGTGCAGCTAGGGCCGGGAATGCCCTGGAGCCAGACCGAGAGGGCCGCAGCCCCCGCCCGCCCCCTGCTCCCGCCCGCCTGCAGGTTCCCGGGAGGGAGGAGAGGGGGCCGGCAGAGGCAGCTGTGGCCGCGGCTTCAGAAGCCCTTGTCGATGCTGAGGCTGCGGCGGGTGACGTGCTC